GTATATGTGTATGTACGTACATACATATACATATTTGTATGTATGTGTATGTATGTATGTGTATGTATATATGTATATACATACATATATACATACACATACATACATATATACATATACAGGAAATTGGCACATAGCACTTGTTCGATAAGTGTCTGTTCTCATTAATCCCTGAGTTACACAAGTAGTAAATAGTGGGACCAGATTTAGATTCAGACTATCATGTAATACTGATTTTACAAAATGGGGACTATCAATTAAGTCAATAAAACTGAAAAAAGAAAAAAACCCTGAGAAGAATGGTAGCATAAATGTATGACATTAAAAAACAAAGCACATTTTTTTAATTTCAAAATGGAGAATAAACACAGATTTACATGTTTGAAATTAAAATAAATTGTATACCATTAATGCATCCTTTTAGAAAAATGATTCATCAGCTTTTTTAGATTAACTGACAAGTTAATGATCCCAATCACACTGAATAAACAAGTTTAGCACACTGTTTTTCTTTAGGTCCTTGGGTCACGAGGTTGGAAAGGACCACCAGCAGCATCTTAGAGCTAGGAAAGACTTAGGATTTTGCTGAAATTGGAAAAGTGCAGAGAAAAAAGTAAGAGATTGGGATTTAGGGTGGAACCTGCGTATAAACCTATGAATCTTGCTTGGTTGACTTTGAAACACAAGGAATAAAGGTTATAAAAAAAGGCAGAAGCCCTCGCTACCTCTCACTTAAATAATTTAGCAATGGGAAGCCAGATATACAGGAATTATATGGGAAGTGGGAAAAGAAATTAAGAGATCTGAAATACATACTGTGGATTCTAAAATAAGGGATTAATCAGAAACAAACAAACAAACAAACAAACAACAACTCCCCCTCCCCCCATAAAATTGCTATGAACTTCCAAACCATGCAAGAGGTCAAGTATTTCAAATGCCATTCTTCAAGAGAGGAAAAGGTTTGGATGGGTGATGAATTTTCTCCTATAACACAGGGAACTTCTTAAGGAGAAATATAATTTTTAATGCTTCAAGTCTCCCTAATCCTGAGACATCTTCTCCCCTGTTCTATTCTAGACATTATGCTATTGTGAAAACAACTGGCTTTGGAGTCAGACATTCCTGATTTTTAAACCAGTCCATTCATAATTAGTACATCTGAATAAGTTTCTTCTCTCCTTCCAGCCTTGGTTTCTTTTTCTGCGAAGTAAGAAAAAACAAACACAAAAACAAAAACCTGTAACACATACACTGATGATGAAATAAGTTATATTAAGTACCCAGCATACAATGATCGGACTATACCCGACAAATGGAAGGGATCAAAAACTAAGAAAAAGCAAGTGGTACCTTGTTCATTCTATTCCCCCTTCCCCCAATCCCAATCCTTTCCCTCAAGTTGTTCTTCTTCTTAGGCTCAGGACAGTTCTCATAGTATGGCCTTCTCTGTACCTCCAGTACTGTGAAATAGCCTTTTTTATTCCCTTCTTGGCTATATCTATTCTCCATGGACAATTTATTTTAAAAAGTACATTTTATGTTCAGCCTTCCTGTGTTCATTAAAGTAGGTCTTGCATGTGTGTTATATACATATACATATATAACATATACATTTACACATAGCTATATAATGTTAGCTTGGTTTTTATTTGGGGTATTTAATCCATTTACATTCAATGTAATATTTATATATTTGGGTTTTTATCTACCATCTCACTATTTGTTATCTACTTGAACCAGGTGTTTTATATTCCTTTTTCTCTTTTCTTGCCTTCATTTGCATTAATTTTTTACAACTTCATAATTTTCCCTCCATTAACCTGTCAGTTATACTTTCTTTCACTATTCTTTTAGTGGTTACTACAGAGATCACAACATATAACCTTGATTATTACTGTCTAAAAAACATAGTACTTTACCACTTTCCCAATAATGCTAGAACATTTTAACTCCAGCTGCTCTCTCCATCTTACTTGTTATTGACATGTTTTAATTTTCATGACATTTTTGCTTCAGTATCGATTTATATTTATCTATATATTTACCTTTCTGTAGCTCATTTACTGTATCCCTACATTTCCATCTCTTAATATTGCCAAGGTTTTAGTAGACTTTTCAAAGAACCACTTTTTTACTTTGTTAGTGTATTTTTTGTCATTACTTTCTGCAGTTACCTCCCTTCCATATTTTTATTGTTTAAAAATTCTCGATAATTGAGTTCATTAATTTTTTAGCATCTCTCTTGTAACCCTATAAGTGCCATTTTCACTGCAACCCACAAATATTGGTATACAATATTTATATTTCATTTTAGTTTAAGTATTAGTAAATTTCCTTGTGATCTCTTCTTTAATGCAAGAGTTATTTGTATGGACATTTAAAAGTCTCCAAACATATATTGATTAAAAATTTTGTTGTAGATTTTCAAATAAAATATAGTGTGGTCAGAGAATATCGTCTATATAATACTCAATATTTGTTGAATATTTGTTCAGACTTACATTATTGTACTATATATTAGCATTTAAATATTTTGTCTGTGAATATGTATTCTATAATTTGATGTACAGATCTGTTATACAAATATGTACTATCACTGGTTTTCTCATTTGCTTGATCTAGCAACAACGAGGAGAGGTATATTTAAATTGCTCACTAAAATAATGGATTTATCAATTCTCTTATGTAATTCTACTGATTTGTTATATGATCTGAGGTTACTTAGAAATTTAGACCTGTTACACATTCTGGTGGGTTTAACTTTTAATTATGTGGAAGCCTTACTTCTCATAATGCTTTTAATGTATTTTCTGTCAATATTAAAATAACTCCCTTAATTTTCTTTAGGTATTTCCCTGGTATAACTTTCCATTCTTTTACTTTTTCATTATTCTCACATTTCTGTGTATCTCTCTTATAGCCTATTGGTATAATTTACTTCTAAGCCCATTCTTAACAATCTCTATCATTTAGCCATTATTTAGTCTGTTTTATTCACATATTTGGGCTGTCATCTTTGTAGTTATTTGTCCCACTTTTATATGCTTACTTTTTGCCTTTCTTACAACAGAGTTGCCTTCTCATTTTTCTTGTTTTAAATTATTTCCAATTTCCCCTCCACTATTTAGAATATTACTCTATTTCATTTCTTATAGTGAGTATCCTTGATACTGTACAGTGTATACTTAATTTAATGTAATAATTTAATAGTGCTTATTTAATGTCCAAAGTTAACCATCTTATAGCTTTTGTCTTGAACTCAATTCATGAATGATAAAACACTTAAATTCCAACTACATGCTATTTTTGTTCTCTATTTTAGTAATTTATCCAAAATAGTTTTATTTTAGTGGAAGACCTTACAGAATATCTTGTTAAGTAAATTAGGAAGCAGAGGTCTTCCTCTTTTGCTTTGCTGATCTAGTTTTCTGTTTTGTACAGACGTTTCCTGGCTCAAGGTTAACACCTCATTGTTTGGGTGTTTTCTTCCAACTGCCCCACAGCTCTCTCACCTTGAAATCACTTCGTTGGAGGCTTTTGTAGAGATTCAGTAAGTGAACCAAAGCACCAAACAATTGTTGTAGTCCTCTTCCTGAAATCAGCACTTGACAAGGAGTGTCTTGAACTCTTCTAAGGGACTGTATGATGTACAACTAATGAACCACAGATAAAAGAGCCAGAGCATTAGTCTTAGAGGAAATCCTGAGAACTTAGTTTTAATCGTCTTCCTGTACAAATGGCTTTTTGGAATCATTGTCATAGTTTGCATAGAACATTACTAAGTAAAATTTACACTCTATTTAAATGAAGATTGTCATTCTTCTTTACTCTTTTGCAGAGAGTTGGCTCTTGCTTCAGGTACCTACTTCTGCAGTTTCTGGAAGTCTATACATATCCCCTACAGTTCTTTTGAGTTCCCAGTCTCCTCTGAAGAATCCTCATCCTCACAGACTACGAAGTAGTGTAGTCTGTGCTGAGTGACTCCTTTTTAAGGATTCAAATTGTATTCCATCTTTCCCTTCTACCTGAAAACTCCCATGAGCATACACACACAATGAAAAGGACAGGGATTGCACTTTATGGGATATCTTAACTTTTGCTTCCCTGACAATCATTCTGTTTCTTCTTGTCATTAAGGATAATTTAAAAATTGGTATTTAAAAAGAGCTCAGGACTTTTCCTTGCCTATTCCTCAGGACTTCTCCAAGGAATCAAATTATTTCACTTTCAAGGAGATGTGCTCAGGTTCAAGGACATTATATTCTGCCAAAATAAAGGTTAGGGAACACATGGGTAGGGTACCCATTTTTGATACTTTTTTCTTCTCCCACAAACTAGATAAATGTCAGCTAGCCAACATCACTAGAAATATGAGGTAGAAAAAAATGTTAAGTGTATTTCTCTCAGGGAGAATTACTGTGGCTGGAAGAAATAGTCAGCTGAGGGAAGATGCCAGTGGTTACTATTAAACAAACTAAAAAATATCAATGTGAAAGAGCACCAAATTATTAATCTGTACAGCCTATCAACATTCACTATTTCTCAGTCCATCTTTACTTTTACAAAACCATCAAGGTGCCAAATTAACCCTCACCTGGTTGCCGCCCTTCCTGGGAGCCTGGTGAAGCAAAATGACTTTTCGGAGGACAGATCTCATTTTCCTCATGCAAAGGAGTGATCTAGAGGCTGCTGTCCTGACCTGAGAGGACTGAAGCAATCAGTCTTGGCCAACTTTGCAGTCATCAGTAGGGCAATCTTCTATTTACTATTTCCATCACTTCAGAGAGGCTCTGGTTCTAGTACTTTTCTGTTAATCCAATAAATGAAATTCTCTAGGGCTCATCTGAGTTTACTAGATTCTGGTCTAGTTTGAAGCCTTAATCTAGATAATAAAAATGTATTTTTCCTTTCTTTCCACTTATTTGTCTTGGGACTTTGGGATGGAGAAGAGGCTGAATATTCCTTGGTTATTACAAAATGAATGGCCACGTATTATGTCATTTTAACTTTGTAACTTTATTAGCACATTATTCCATCATTCCAGCTACCCAGCAATTCTCTAAGTTAGACTTCATAGCTTTCTCCCAATATCTTCAAAATCCTGCCTTTTTCTTCCTCAAACTTCTCTATTTATATGGTATTTAAGAACATCAAAATTCAATGCTTCACAAAATTCTACAGGGAACTCCTTATAAATGGCAAGAACATTCTGTGCTTCTGCATCTTCCTTACTGCTTCTTGCTCATTCCAGTTTATCTTGTACTAGCCCTGCTACTGCAAACAGGGACAGTTTGTGTTCAGATTTAGGAGATATCATGTCCCTTCTCGAACTCCGGAAAATACAGTAGCTTACAAGGGACCAGAGATTTAGTATCAGCATAGGGATTAACAATAAAAGAACTACTTGATGTTCCAAGAAACTGGACCAGTCTCTCAAACTTTCCCTTATATAGAATTCTCTTGATAGATTTTCACTTACTGCAATAATGCAGTGAAATTAGTGAATTAAGTCAGTTTGTTCTGTACCTCCAGAATTTTATCAACTTCCAGAAACGGTAAGAGCTAGGAGAAATTATCTTTTGAGGCTGCGATATTTCACCCAGGACAAATTGTATAAACTTTTGATCTACAGTTCAGAAATGTTTGCATATTAGGACAGTCTCTTCTGCAAACTCCAGGCTCAGGTCTTACCTGTGTGTACATTTCTACCTGTGGCTTTGCTAACCATGCCAAGCCTGACTGCATGGAAAACTACTCTGTACTCCCTGGTCTCTTTTTGAGTATGAATGCTCAACAGAATCAATAACCTGACATCCTAGAAGTGAATACTCAACAGAATCAATAACCCGACATCCTAGAAGTGAATAAGTTAACTGTAAACTTTCAGAAACCAGGGAACTTGGCTGCCCCATGTTACTTTTATTTCATATGTATATATTTCCAAAGAACAATGGTTGACTGGTATTAAAACCAGTCAATGAGACTATCATTGCTGATCAAAATGAAAATTTCCTTGTTGAGCTGTTAAGGTTGAGGCCTTGTTATCCTGCCCATACTCCTCTGGTGTACACAGTGAACCGAAAATCGGAGCAGAAGAAACCATAGAAGACAGTGCCCCTTCTCATGCTTTAATCCCACACCCTGTGCTCCATATATGGAGGACAGTCTCCCCAGTCCTGCCACTCCCACAATCAGACTACGTGAGGTTCATAATCATTCAGCCTCGTCTCCATGGAACCTTTATCAGACAACAGAAATCCTTGGGCCATATCTATTTAGTTCTTAATTACATGAAAATAAAATCACATAAGAAAAAGCAAACAATGAAAATACATGAAAGCCATTTACTCCTGGTAAATTCTTCAGGGTCCCAGGTGCTGGGGTTCATAATTTTCCCTGATATCAGAGAACCAGGGATCATGGGAGTGGGGTGTCAGAATAGTCTTGATAGCCTTGGCCAGCAGTAACAGCTCTTTAATTTTTCCATAATTTGATCTCAGATCTTCTCCAGTTTTCTTCATGTTATGTGACCCAATGAATTATGATTCTGTGATTATCATAGTGTCTTTATAAGCTGACACTGTTCCAAAATTCCCTCAAACCCGAGAAGAGGGTGGGGTAGGTGGGTTTGTATGTATGTGCAAATGTAAATTATTTCATTATGATTTAATTATGCTTTACTAAATTCCTTGGCACCCAAATGCTACACCCCACTTGCAGTAGAAAAAGTGCTAGGGACAAAACCAAGAGACTGGTAGAATAGTAGGAAGGCTAACGGCATGAGTATTCTAACAAGGGAAAAAAACCCACCAGGAAAGAGGCTTCTGACTAGGTCCTCCTTTCTAGCAGTGCCAGGCACCTGGTATCACTTTGACAATGGGGAAGAGAAGTATACTGACAAGGTCCATGTGAAGCAGCCTTGAGGTTTTCACTCATCAAACACTTCTCCCATCTCTCCCCAGTGTCAAGGAAAGTGCATGGGGAGAAAGTTGAATCAGTGAGATGTGTACAGTTATCCTGTGAATGTGTGGCAAAGCCATCAGAATGCAAATCTCTGGCCTCGAGTTCGGGGCTATGTGCTTTAAGATTTGAGCCCAGTAAAGACAGAGTCCTACAGGCTGGTCCCTTACCAAACTTAAGGGGTTGTCCTGGGTCACTTTAAACTTGAGGCTGTTGAGCAGTCTTTAGGATATCGAACAGCTCATTTTGGGGAAAATATAATAACCACAACCCCTGAAGTATTCTAATTCTCCTACTTCGTACCCATGAAGTAGAGGCAGGAACACTCCAATCAAGAAGCCTCAATTCAGGTTGTACTTTGGGTAAAGTAGCTAGTTCTTCAAGGAGTAAAAGGTTGAGAGGTTATGCTCAGGGGTTTTACTTAATTGCAGGAGAGGTTATGTAGTAGATCTGGGCAGGTCATGTAGACTCCCTGGAAAAGGTCTCCCCAGGCTGATGAGAGGGCTTCTCCTAGCCCATCTCTGGGTCAGGGCTGAATATAGATCTCCTCACATGGGACCTAGCTAGGAGGTCTTTTCTGCATGGGTCCTCTGATGCCTAATTAAGTGATAGCCTCTGCTGAAGCTTTTTCCACAGGTAGGGCACGTAAATGGTTTTTCGCCAGTGTGTGTTCTTTGATGCCTGACGAGGTGGTCCCTCCGACTGAAGCTTTTCCCACATTCATTGCATCGGCAGGGCCTCACTGATGCATGTCCTCTCAGGTGCTTGGCAAATGCAGCACTATGGTTGAAGCACCGCCCACACTCACTACAGAGATAAAGCTCCTCAGCTGCATGTGTCTTCCGGTGTGCCAGGTACCGTCTGTGGTCACTGAAGTCCTCTCCACACTCTCCACACAAGTAGGGTTTGCCTCCCAGGTGGATTCTTTGGTGCGTTGTTAGTACAGATTTCTGGCTGAAGCTTTTGCCACAAATAGTACAGAAGAAGGGTTTTTCTCCTGTATGTGTCCTCTGATGCCTAACAAGGTCTGAAGTCCAACGGAAGTGTTTTCCACAATCATCACATCTATAGGGTTTCTCAACAGGTGGAGTTCTTTCAGCCTGGACTAGAGGGGAAGTCTCATTCAAATTCTTCCGGTTTAGGGGACATTTATAAGGAGTGCCCATTTTGTGAACCTTCTGGTGCCTGGCAAGATGCGAGCTCCGTGTGTAACTTTTCCCACACTCCAAACATTTATAGGGTTTCTCCCCTGTGTGAGTTCTCAGGTGTCTAACAAGGTGTGAGTTACACGTGAAACTTTTTGCACATACAGGACAGTCATGATGTCTCCCTAACAGAGGGTGGATAGGTGTGGTTTCTCGAAGATTCGTTAAACTATTAACTTGAGAAATATTTGTACCAAATCTTCTTTCATTAGGTCTACCTGGATCATCTTCAAAGACTATTTCCCAATCTGGAGTCTGGTGGATTTCAAGATCTCCTAAAACAGACCTGTGTAGATCTTCTAAATTCAGATCTTCTTGCTCAAGAAACTCTTCATCTTCACTCCGATCTCCTGAAGAGAGGGTGAGAGGAGAAAAGGGGAAATTATAGCAATAATGATTCCTTCTACACAATGGGAGGATTTTTAAACAGAGTTCTGGAAGGGCCAGACTATACAGAGAGAAGCCTATATTTAATAACTATAGTAGTTAGGAAAGAAGAAAATAATCAGTCAACTGAATGCCTGTCATGTGCTAGGCACTTTCTTGTATGTTATCTCAAGCTGTCAATAAGCCTTAATTTGGAAAAATATTATTATCCTCATTTCGCAAATGTAGAGATTGAATATCTAAAGTTTAAGTGAACTGTTCAGGAAATGGAATAATCACAATTCCAAAAGTCTCGGTTTATCTTTCACCATTTTGCATTATATATACCTCAAACGAATGACAGGAAGGGTGAAGAGGAGGAAAAGGATAGAAGAATTTGGCATTCAGAGGGAGAATCAGACTAGAGAACAGCCAGCTCAAGGGATGAAGATTCCTTCTGTCATTCCTCACCTGTGTAGGTAAAACTCAGGATTTCTGGCTCTTGAGGCTCTTGAAGCTCTAGGATATCCGGGACCAAAGGCTCTTCTCTAACTTGGGAGATCTCATCTAGTCTAGGGATTGGAAATGCTGCTCAAGAGAGGGAAAACAGGATATTATGATTGCTTCAACAATTCCCAGTGTTAAGAGCAGGTTTTTCCTGTATGACAAGACTGTAGAATAGCCAGTTCAGTCGATCAAATCTTTCGTCTCTTTAGCTTCAACACCTCCAACCAAGAACTGCATACCCCTTGACTTTCACCTACAACTCAATAATTACACAACTGTAAATGCTACCCTCTTTTCCCATATTCGAGTAAGGAGATTAACTTTTATTGCTTGTTTCAAAACTCATATGCTTATTTCAAATATACTAAACTTGATTTTCTTATTAGAAGTTTGCAACCACTTTCTACGTATTTTCTCTTCCCTTTAACTACAAAGGGTCTCATCCTCCACTGCTCATCTTTCAATGTCATTGGTGGGGGTGGCATAAGAGAAGTGTAGTACATACAGTCTAAGGTCTAAGATGCCATAATTTCCAACAGGAAAAAGATCTCTGCGATCACAACATTCTAGAAAAACTTGAAATTACTTACATAAGGAGACCACAATCCCACAGTCTTCTTCCAAAACATATTCTCCATAGAACTCTTTCTGTGTTGGATCCAGATCACTCCACTGGTCCTGGGAGAAGCATACAGCCACGTCCTTGAAAGTTACCAAACCCTGAAACATCACCAGGATTCAATTAAAAAGTGATGCCTTACAGAGTCTCATATTTTGTTCTTGGAATGAAGGTTCTTGGCACAGACAGAATCCATGTAGGAGACAAAAAGAACTAAAATGGGACAGTCGGCTCCCTTTCAGGAAATGTTTTACCTCTGTCATTGTGTCCTGACTTTCTACTTTTGCACTGGCCCTACTCCTGCTCCCTCCAGTCCCACTGCTTTCTCTCAGAACCAACCTATGTTCTTCCAGATGTTGTTGTTTAAATACAAGAAAAGTCTGAGAGGTCATTATTCAACTCCTTATTTGATGCTTTAATGCTATTTACATTTCTATAAAAAGTCAACTTTTCTAAGCTTTCCCTAAGTGACCTTCTCTAATCACTCTTATCACTTACAAAATCTACAGAGCATAAACAGGACTTTTTTTTCTTCAGTTGGACTACAATCTAAAAACATGGATGAATTCTATCCTTTTTTCTTCCAGCCACATAGTTTAGTTTCTGGGCTCTGACCATGGTGAATCTCCACAAATGTTGTGACCGGACTGAATATAGTCCCTGGAAGAGTATACCAGGCAACTTCAGAAATCATTTCTGCAGCCGTCATCCTTACAAATGACTATCAAGTTTATTCCTAAAACCCAAAAACAATCTCTCATTCAACAACTTCAAAGTTATATTTGAGCGTTATAAAATAATCCCATTCTGTTAGTCACTCTGGTCAGTGGCAAATAAAGAGGCTTTGGAGCCTGTAGATCCAACTGACTATTATAACTGATCTCAACAGATTCAATTCTGCCCTGTAAAGACACGTGCAGAATTGAGAACTTAAACTGCAAAAGGAGAGTAGAAATTTGAGTTCTGTCTTACCCACTGAATATATGGCTAACACCTCATTGTTCTTCAAATTCTCTGTGGAATAAAGGGAAATGAAGGCACACCTGTGACAGAGCAGTAAGAAGGGCAACCATCTCTGAGTTCCCAGTGTTCCTCTCCTCAGGAATGTCTGGGTCCTGGGGTACTGGAACCTCTACGAAGAAAAAAAGGCAGAGGTCAGCAATCTGCAGTGCACCCCTGTAACTGGCAAATAGCTGATCAACCCCAGCATCTTTGGTGGGAAGGTGGGAATCAAGAAAGTGGCCCAACAGTAGCTCAAGTCATCCCGACACTACCATCTATAACACTATCAGATGCCAAGAGAATAACCAAGAATATTGCTCTCCAAGCTTACCCATTTATAGGGGACTCTAGCTAGTACTGTCTCCTCAGTACCCTGGAATCTGAGTTATTCCCATTACAATCTACCCAGTCTCCTTGGTACAGGAGAAATATCTCCCTCCCCGCACTCTGCTACAATGCCCCCTTTCTGCTGAGGCTTCCCACCGCTCTCCTGCAGGGGCTGGAACTCCAATTCATGGTACAGGCTCTGCTCCTCTGGTGCCCCCAGATTTGGGTTCTGTGTGGTCTCCTCATGGGACTCCTCGGGGGTCAAGGTCTGCGCAGGATCCTGCAGCTCCCTAGGTGACTCAGGTTCTGCTCCTGGATGCAATGTCTCCTCTGACAGGACTTCCTGGCCATGAACATGGACAGTCACCTGGGAATAATTCCAACTTCCAGTCACCATGGAGTCAGGAGGAAAGTCTTGTTTGTCATCAGGGCTTATTTTAGGAGAAGCTGCCAACAGAAAAACTCCCAGAGGGACCCAGATGAAGAGGGAAAATTTCCATTCCACTGGGGCATGCAAAGAGTTGTTGAAGGTTATCCTCACCAGGATAAGGCAGGGGACATTCAGATACGGCACTGCTTTCTTACTTCCCTCAACCCTGTCCCTATCACCCAGGGCTCAGAGGTCCTATGCTTCCTATCTCCACCTATCCCACCGGCAGCAATCCTTGTTTGCTTCTCTGTCTTGTTGTCCTGAGCAGGCAATCTGTGACTGAGGGTTTATGAGAACCTTTGAGGAAGTGACAAAATTCTTCTCCCTAAGACCTGGAGTTTCAACATCCAAAGAAGGGAAAACCAAAGCCATGTGATCCTGGGGTGACCGAGGCTCCTAAGATAGTCCCTAAGCAGGTGCTTCAAAAACCAGGAAGTCACAGTCACACACACAGACACACACAAACACCTCTGCCCCTTGGGGCTCATGGATCCAGGTACAACACAAGGGCAGAGCCAATTAAATTTAAAGGGTTAATTTATGGGTCCCTGAAGCCCTACCCCCAAATCCATCCTTCCAGCAAATAGTCCCCCTCCACATCACACAGATCAGGACTCCCCCTCCTCACCCACCGCCTTGGTCTCCTGGGTTGTTTCTGCAAACCCTCCACCAGTGTCACTGCCTCCTCGCCACTTTCTGGCCGTTGGCCCCGCACCCAGCTCTGCAGTTCTCCAGGGAGGACAGTAAGGAACTGTTCCAGTACAAGCAGCTCTAGGATCTGCTCCTTTGTCCGCCTCTCTGGCCTCAGCCACTGATGACAAAGTTCTCGGAGTCGAATGAGAGCTTCTCGAGGGCTTGCTGCTTCCTGGTAGCGAAAGCGTCGGAAGTTCTGGTGCGAAGTCTCAAGCACGGGATCATCCTTCTGTAAGACAGATTCTGGCCTACAAGTGAAATCATCCTCCAATTTCACCATTAGAATCCCCTCTTCTTCCCAAAGATCTTGGTCCTCTGGTTCCAAGGCTGCAGCCATTTTCTGGCTCTGGGGTGGTCTCACACCATCTAGAGCTCACACTGTCATCACACCCCAGTCTCAGCCTGGGCACCTCGAGTTTCTCCCAAGAGACCTGGGGTAGAGAAGCAGAGACAAACAACAGTGTAAGCATGATATTATACACAGAAATAGCAGGTCTGAGTTCAATCATAACCTTGGTCATGTAACACTTCCTCAGACTATTAAAGTCCTTGTCCCCTAATCCCCATATGTTACAAATAGATCTAGTTGGAATAAAATAACCTACGCCTGAAGGTGTGTTCCCCACCTCTTTTCCTAGGCAAGGTTCACACTCCATTAAAAAATATGGCACTGCTTTTTTCTAATTTCTACTTCATGAAACCTGTGAACCTGTAAAGACACTCAAAATCATTGGCTAAAAATGTGTGGTAATGACCATGGTGTTTTACACAAACACTCACACACACACACTTTTACATATTTACTATGATGTATATTCTCAGAAAAGACACATCAACATGGCTGAAATAGACAGGGAAGGCTTTATTGAGGTTCATTCTGAACTGAATCATACCCAATATTAATTTCTTCTGTTAAATGGGGACTCTCAGGTTTGAGCGGAGGATTGTATAAGTTAACAGTGAGGAAAGCCACTTACATAGTGGCTGACATACAGGCACCCCAAAAAGCAACTTTCCTTTTGTTAAGACAAACTTATTTGAAAGATCTACAGATCCTCAAACCCAAATGTTCAAAACTGAATTTATTATCCTTACTCCCAAATCTCTTCTTTCCAGAATACTGTCTTGGCTAGATCATCACTTATTCAGCAAACACCTAACTTTGTAATCCTTGGATTCAAATTTGATTCTTCCCCATTGCTCATTAAAAAATTTCTACTTCTTACGCCTCTAAATCTATTTCCTCCTCTTTTTTTACATAGACTGCTTTAGTTTGGGCCCTCACCTCTTGCACGGGCCACAGCCATAACTTTGTAATTGGGATCCCAGTAGTATTCGACTGTGAGCCAAGTGCAGCAGAACTATCTGTGGAGCTTTTGCAAAACGTATCATTCCTTTGGATATTCTGATTCATTCAATCTAGGCAACTAACTTTAGAAATGCCATGTGTGGTTCTGATGTTCTTCCTTGAGAAACATTTAGGGTGTATAAGGTTACCAGTGGAGTCAGGCTGCTAGGGTTTGAATCCTTGTTCTATTGTTCACTAGATAGGAGACCATGGGCAAGTTCTTATTCTCCTTATGCCTGTTCCCCCGTTTATAGAATAGAGGTAATAATGGTAGCTAATAGGTTACTATGCGGATTAAATGCATTACTATTTGTGAAGTGTACCCCAATGTCAATTTTTTGCTTTTAAATTATAGTTCTAACTGCATTACTCAACACTTAAAAAAATAACTTCTAACTCTAAGACCAGTTCCAAAATCCTTGGTATGGCACATGAAGCTCTTCACAATCAGCCCTCAAGCTATTTTTCAAGTCTTGAATTCTACCTTTTTCTGTGTCACCTGGCTATAAATGCATTGCTGATCTCCCTACGATAGGGTCTCTTCAGGCCTCCATGCCTGTATGAAGGCTGTTTCTTCTGCATAGCATACTCTACTCCACCTCAATGTGGCATGATGTGTTTCTAGTTTTCTTGACAGGTCCTGTCTTCTTCATTCCCATGACTTATCAGTTCTCATCTGGTTGAAACCGCCTCTAAATATAAGTTAACTACCTCCAGATTTGTTACCTTTTAAGTCACAGTCATAGTATCAAGAGTGCTCTTGGTAAATCTGGTCATGTCACTTCCCTATTTAAGACCCTCAATCACTCTCTGTCCTGTAAATGTGATATAAACTTCTAAGTATCATATATTAGATCGACCTTCTTTCCAACCTTTCAAAGACACACACACACACACACACCGTGTGCATGTGAAGCACACAAAAGCCCTACATCCTTTGGCTTCTGAACATGCTGTTCCTTCTGACTCTTCAACCTTCATTAGGTTAGACTTTACTTATCTTTCAACATATAGCTCAGACTTCACATGTTCTGAGGTAATGTCTTTGATCCCATTCTCCCTATCCTCTGACATGGTTAGAAATCACTTTGCTTCCACAGCAACCTGGGTACATCTCTATCACAATGTGTCACATCAAATACCTATTTATCTTTCCTGTGAAGCTCCTTGAAATTACGGACTAAGCTTTTTAATCCTCAAATACCTATAATAAAGTACATAATAAATGCATTTAAATGAATGAACCTCCACTTCGAAGTTTTCTTCCTACTTTAACAGGAAAAATCAGTCTTTTTCTCCTCTGCTTCTACTCTTATTTACCAAATCTTGTTAACTGTCTTCTAAATGTCTTTCGAATTCATCTATCTCATCTCCACTGCCAGCTGAGCCATTACGACCCACTAAAACACCCTATATAAAATCCTTTTTAAAAAACGACAGCGTTGGCTCCTATACTACACTGGCACATAACAGGCACTTAAATGTTGAATGAACAACTTGGTTCAAGTTTCACCACCGGTCTTCCTGGTCCAGCTCCCTCCAGGCCAGGTTGCAGTCTCCACATGCAACCTGAAGAATTCTTCATTTTTTAATCTTTTTGTGCAATAGAACTGCCTCAAATCCACCTTCAAGGTTAGCAATCCACTTGTAACAGCTGAGTCTCTAGATTCTCATGCATTAATTTTCATACTTATTGAATCTGCTATCTCTACCTTATGGTGGTTTGTAATATTTTAAATTTTATGCCCATCTCCACTGAGATTGTTTTTACTTTGGGAGTCCTGAGAGCCCTAGGTTATAAAAGAGAGACCTTTGAATTTCACTTGCTTCTACCTAAGGACTAATGGTTTCAATGATCTTGGATCAGTTTTTCTCAACTCCCAAATTATCTGATAGTGCTTTATTTGGGCCTATGCCTGTGATTTTTGTTCTACCCAAAGCTATGTAGGCCTACTTCCTTGCCCCTTTGCTTGATCACTAGACAGATTTTTATGGAGGAGGCTGCTCTTCAAGGCCTCAGGCTGTTAGATGGTTCAATTCTACATACCTCCCCCAACTCCATCAATCTCCTTATTGGAGCACAGATATTAGAACCCTAAACCCTTTAACCAACTTTTGGGTTGAAATCTCCTTGGGCTGTGGTAAAGTCAGCTTTTACTTACTTCTCTAGTTTTTATTTCTGGAATCTATATATTTACTTTTAGATTTTTTTTTTTTTTTTTTGATGGGGTAGGTGGGTGCAGGAATTTAATAATAGACAGGAACTCCTTCCCCGCTCCTCCCCCTCCCCGCCCCCACACACATGCATTAGCTTCACCTGCAATATTGCAGGAAGGTCTGAGTGGTGAACTTTCTAACATACAAAATCAGCCACTGGCTTCGCACTGTCTATAGGATAAAATTTAAACTTCTTACAATTTGATTCTCAAGGCCCTTCAAGACTTGGCTCCTGCCTACCTCTTTTCTCCCATGATTGTCACTTACACTGAAAATCACTGTTCAAAAGTACTGTTCTGTGTCTTTTTTTTTTTTGCCCTCACTGGGCTTTCAAGATGCTGTCCACTCTGCCTGAAATATCCTTTTCTACCCGCTTTATCCCTACTCATCCTTCAGGGCTCAGTTTTCCCAGGGTGCCTTCCCTGAGCCTCCCAGATTTTTTCCACAGGAACTTGCACCTCCCTATATCATAGCACACATGTATATCTACTGGTCTGTGTGGTGAAAATGGTTCATCTTGCTATTTAGCTCATCAGACTGTAAAACAGGAAGCAGGTGGTAATGTGGAAAGAGCACTGGATTAGGTATCCAAAGATGTACATTCCAGCCCTAGATCCTCAAGAAACTGGAGCTACTCTAAGGGTTTCATAACATACAAAAGAGCTCTTGTAAAGGGTAGAGCTTTCTGCAGATAACTGTTCTCAGATTGGCTGAGATCTGTGAGCGTTTATGACATGTACTGTGCAAATATCAGATATCAATACTACAGACAGAAAATGGTATTTTTTAAATCTACAATTAATGGGATATGCAACACTGAAAGTCTGCCCTGCAATTTGTTGCCCTCGCTATTCTAATATCTTTCTATTCAATGTCTGTCCTTGGAAGGGTTCCACGGTGACAAATATAGAGAGAATGTGAAGCCAGGCCAGGAAGAGTAAAAGACTTGGTTCCAGAAGGCTCTAAAACATGTCTGTAGAGATGTTTCACAAGCCTAGGTCCTGGATGTATGGGACGGGAATGGGGAGAAGATGTGGAAAAGGAAAAGACCTTTCTCCAATCTTTGGTCCAGCTGTCTCTGCCCCTTATCTGAATGTGTCACAGGCTTGTGAAGACAATAACACAATTCTGACCAGAACAGAAAACTGCAGGCAATGAAAGGATATCTGGTTCTCTGTCTTAAAATGTCTTACTATGATGCCTCACTATTTGGGGTGATCTTTCCAGACCCTAAATGAAAAGATTTGTAGTCCCATATTATCTGAGAGATGGTGATCTATTTACTAGTAAATAATTTTCAGAAGTCAACTGTGATCGGAGGTTTAAACAATCTTATTTAGCGGATACCCATACCTTTCCAGTCTCCATTACATCTTTTACCCTAATGCAGACCCGTAACCTGGGCATCTGAATGTGACTCCTCGCTGGGCCACTCCAACAGACCTCTCTCATTGCTCTAGAACAGAAATCAGCTAATAAAAATTAATAACCCTTTTCCAACGCTTATTGGTTCTTTAAAACTACAGATTATTCCAGTATAATCCTTCCACTGAAAAGATTCGTTATATTAATTGTCCTATATACAAACGTTTATCCATGCTTTCCACATACAGGTTAAGGGCTTTGGAGCCTTGGGTCTGGATCCCTCTCCTAACTTATTAGCCATGTGACACTCCCTAAGTCTCAGTCTTCGAAATGTGGCTCATACTACCTACCTTGCATGGCTGTTCTAAGGAGTAAATGAGGTAACATATAAAATAACTCAGCATAGAACCTGGCATAGGGCAGATAGATCTCAATATACTCTGTTCTCTTTTTTTTCAAGTTGCTTTAAACTCTTTTGGGGAAAAAGGCAAGATTTAAATTTGAACAAGCAAACAGTCCTTTATTTCATCATAATTACAAAAATTAAAATGTACAGGAAAAATGTTTCTGCTGTATCAAAAGGAAAGTGTTAAATCAGAAGAGTCCTTGTTTGAAGGCACTTATAAGGTAGGATTAAATATCCTTGGAACACAGATGGGTTGGAACTTTAAAGATAGGCTCTCATGCCGGAGACCATATTAGCAATACTTCTACTTACCAATATCATAGTCCCCCGCCCCTTTCCTGTAATGGGGAGGAGGCAATTTGAGGAAAGCACATGTCGTATACCCAAGAAGTCCTTTGAAAACAACCCAGAAGGCAAAAAATAAAAATAAAAGGGAATGCATTCACTGACTTTTGATCACATCATGATCAGTATGCTTCAAACCATGTTTAAAAACTATTTAAAATATTTTTACCACTTAATTTTTTTCCTTTCATTAGATTCAACATAAAATATTTGAGTTGCACAAGAAGTGGCTCAAAGCTCTTAACAATAGGTTTCAAAGAAAAAGAGTAAGGTATAGAGAAGGGGAAGACAGAAAGAAGTAAAAAAGCCAAGTAAGTAGTGGTGGTACAGGGAAGTCAGTGGAAGCTACACATAAATATCTTCTGCCCTGAAACTTTGTAGACTTAATGGCTAGGATCAAAAGTAAAGCGTGTATAAAAAAATGTCAAGAGTAAATGTAAACATGAAACGCATAAAATAAAGCTTTAAAATCAAAATAATTCTTTTTATTTTTAATTAACATGTTTTCTATAGGTTATGTACCACAGGCTCAGAAGGTTGAAGAGTTGATAGTTTTGCCTTTGGAGGTAGATGATCTGTGTTCTACCTCCTAAAAATGTGTGGGCTTGGACAAGTCACATTGATTCATCGTGAAAATAGGGATGATTCTCTATCTAAAGGCAGAGAGCTGGATCATCTTTTGAGAAACCATCCCGCTTTCTGATAGTGATAAAGGAGGGTTTTTGAGAGGAACAAAGATATATGGTTCTTTATTGAGTACTCAGGCCACAATGTATTAGCCTAGGATGGTGAAAGTAATTTATTCCTGAGTTGAGAAGCCCTACAGGCTAAATACAGATATGAAGAGTCCAGAATTAAATATGTGGTCATCATGATCATACTGGTTAATCTCCAACATGAAAGTTAGGCTTTTTAACCTTAAATAAGGGTTATTACTCAGAGGTGTTTAATGACTTAAATGAAACAGACCAATATGCCCCAGTTTTAAAACAGAACATTACAAACTAATCTGAAGCAGGAAAAAGGCAGTCATCAAACCTGACCCCCCTGAGGATGGCAGCAGTTTTCATTTGGCAGCCAGCGTTAAGTTAGCTGTATCCAATGAATTACTACAATGAATGTGGTCAATGCCAATTACACAGAGGTACCATTATTTAATGAAAAATAACAGGATAACATATATTATAAACATAACCTGACCTGAGGTATAAATATGAATAACTTAAAATATTCAATTCAAAAGTCATTTACCAAGTTTTCAGTTTTGTAATTAATATGCTAGTCGAGATAATCTCCGTTCTTTATCTATATGACTTCCTTTTGGTTTTGCTCAGGGCTCCCTTGCATCTCCATTCTTTATCTATATGACTTCCTTTTGGTTTTGCTTAGGGCTCCCTTGCATATGATGAGCTGTTAAAGGATGGGACCAATGCCTGCAGGACCAGAGGAATATGAGAGTATCAGGTTTCCACTGCAGGCTAAATCATGGTCCAACATAAAGTAATCCCAGGATACCATTCTTGTTGTGAGGAATGTTTAGTATCTTTATCTTCCACTGTAAGTCCTGCCCCTAAGGGCAAGGACCTCCTTAATCATTTTTATATTTCCAACGCCTAACATTTTGTCAAACACTTGGTACAGAAAAGGTGCTCAATAAAAATGTGTTGCATTTAATTAAGCTGTTTCTCTTCCCCTAACTTGGATAAAGATATAATGAAATTCAGAATCAGTGGATGTCGGGACCTCTGGGTAATAAACCACTCACAGGGACAGTTATAGGCATTTGGCGTTATCATTTATTCCAATCTCCTAGGGAAATCAGATGGCACAATCATTCACTACTGCTTTACCATGTGGCACAGGATTAGTGAAGAAAAACTTCTTCAAGGGGGCAGATGGGCAGGGGATGGAGTTCATTCCAAATATATGAACATCAGTTTTGCGTCCCACACAACTGAAGGTGCTAGGCAGAGAAAGATGAAAAAAGCACAGGCTCTGACCTTAAAGATTTTAACATATAGTTAAGAAACAGCAGTAACTTTACATACCAGGGATTCACAGCAAAAACCTAAAATATGTGTATAAGCTGTATGACCAAAATGGAGGCTCCTATCAAGAAAAATAAGAAAAATCAAGAGAAAAACTCATCACTGTTTCACCTTCAATATGATAAGCAGCATTTGGAGTTTTTTTTAAAGTATATGTTCTTCATTCTACAAATGAAAGAAAGACCTAAGTGGTTAAATCTTAAATACAAGATCCTATTACTACTTCCCAGCACAGAAGTACTCACACACAAGTTTTCTGATACCCAAACCACTGCAATGTTTATGTGAACAAGTCTGGCCAAAGGCAGTGATTCTCAGTTTAAGAAACCCACCCAGACCAGCAGCACCAGCACCTAAGAACATGTTAGAAATGCAAATCCTCAAGCTCCAGCCCAAACCTATTATCAGAAACTCCAGGGGTGGCACCAGCAATGAGTTTAACAAGCCCTTCGGGTGTTTAAGATGCATAGTAAATTTGAGAACCAGTATCTAAGGCAAAGTAAGTAAATCTGGAGTTCAAGCAGAAAGGATCTAACTTTTCTAGTGCTGGCCAAATGTAAAGGAAGGTTTAAAAAAGAAAAAAGAGTCCAGAATTGTTATATGTTTTATGCCTGTGCCAAATTAACTGGGGAAAAAATGTTGTAAACCTGTAACTGATCTCATCTCTATAGTTTGTAATGTACAAGAGTCTCTTACATCGTAGTAAACTTTGCTGTGTCCTTGAAATAACTGTCTACTGCAATACAGTATACAGAATAAGTGCAAAAGGGTGTATAACTGGAGGAGAAAAGGGGAAAGATTATGAATCCCAGGTGTTTGGTTGTAGGAGGAAATATTCCCATCCTCCCTCCAAACCTGCCCACCTTCATATAATAGACGGTACGACCTGAAAGTTACTCAAAATACATGGCCACAAACTCCTCTAACTGCTCAGCTGTCACATACTTTCCAACAAGAGGCCTCCCATGGCTACCACACCACCTTTCTGAAGTGGCTTTCTGGATCAAGGCCCAAGGGGCAGCTTGGAAGAGAAGTTGGGAGGAGGGATAAGGGACTCCACTAGCATTCCTTGTGCCTTCTGAGTATCACCTGCAAAGTCTGGACAGAGAAAAAGCAACAGCTCTAAGGCTGTCTCCAAGTGAGAGCCTCGATGTGGCACTGCTCCCCAGATCCAAGGTGGTGGAAGAACTAGGCCAAAGAGTCTACTTTTGGGAAGGTCAGTACAGAGACGAAGGCAGAAAGGGTTATCAAAGCTCCTAGGAGACAATAACATCTAATGCCTAGAAAAATAAAAACTGGGCTGACACTTTTCTGAGGGAACAGAGCATGTCCATAGCACAAACTAACAACTTTTAGTCAAACCAAACAAAGAGGAGGAGCCCTTATACTCCTGCTGAGGGTTAACTCCTGCTGTTAAGGGTTCAGAGGAGGGTGGTTGCAAGTGGAGACAGAAGCCACTGGCTCGAGGGAAGGGTCGCAGGTCAGTCACACAGGCAGCTGAAAAGCCACAGAACAGATTGTCTGCAAGGCTTAGTATGATCACGGGTGAGATCACGGGTGAGTACTTCTGCGTGTGTTTGACCAGGGGTTAGCTGTGAGAAGAGATGGGGCTGGTCTGGGCAGGGAGTCTGCAAGGAAAATTCCTGAGCAATTTGAGAGGTGGGGAGAGAAAACGCTGCGAGAAATAAAGGGGCCTAGATCACCCCTCCTTTGGTTCCAGAGGGGCAGTTGGCACGGAAGCAAGGGGAGGTACGACCGAACTGCGTTTCTGCAGGCCTCAGGAGGGGGCGGTGGTTGGAAAGAAAGGCGCCTGGAGTGCCATCCGCGTCCTCAGAGGTTCTAGCTCCGGCCACCAGGTGACACGAGGGCCGCAACGCCTCGGGCCCCTCACTACACTGCCGCGGCCCTTTCCCCAGCACAGTGTGATTTCCCCAGGCTCCGGAGGGGGGGGCGGGGTTTTCAACCCCTCCCCCTCTTCCCCGCCCTACGCTGCCCAGCTCAGTCCGATCCGGCCCGGCCCAGCCCAGCCCGCCAGCACTCACGGCTCCGACAGCTCCGGCAGCTCCTCCCCTGCCCCGGCTTCTCCCCCACCCACTCCCGGCCGAAGTAGCGCCGCCGGATCCGAGCAGCGCGGGGCCTGGCGGGTCGGAACACGTGGGGCCTTTGCACTCGGAACCGGAAGCTACTTTCGCCCCACCTCCTCGCTGCCCTGGAGCCTTTCTAGGCTCTGGGAGGTTTGGTCCTCTCTGTGCCCAGCGCGAGTTGAGGCACCCGGCACCCCAGGAGCTAAAAAAAGTCTCAGAGCTGACCGCTTCCGTCCGCACGCCTGCCCCTCTCTGCTTTCTTTTTGTTTTTCTGTTTTTAATTTTTTGTTTGTTTGTTTTGATTTTTTATCTATACCTCTACTTGTTTCTCTTGTTGTTTTTTTTTTTCCTTTTGCATTGTCCACGAAGCGTAGTAGAAAAGAACAATTTTGGGTTTGAGTACAGGCCCTTGCGTTTGCCATCAATTGCAGGACATGGGACAAATATGCCACCTTCTAAAACGGGCATAGTTGTTTTGAAGACTAAATGATAGCTGCATGTAAGCTGATTGGAACATGGTAGAGGTTTAGTAAGAGAATAGTTAATGATAGCATTGTTCTCTGTCTTCTTTTGAGCATTACTTTTTTACTTTGAGACTATCTTCCCTGATCTCATTTGCTCATTTTTGTCTAGGTCAGTGACATTTCTTCCTGTACTTGCCATTTCTATTTTTACTCTTTCGCTGTCACTTCAAACTCCCTAAATCACCACTCTATAGGTGCCAAATAAGGGACTTCTCTTCCCCTTATGTCTTACACATTTCATTTTCATGGGCTCTGTTGTGTTTGAACCCAAGGTATTCATTACTTTTAGTGGAGGGAGAGAAATAATACAGTTTTTGAAAGCCTACTGTGTGCTAGAAGTTTGCTCTATATATTTCATTCAGTATTTTAAAATATTAAGTTCATAAATAATACATATTATGTTCTTCTAATCGTTTAAAACATTACAGGTGAAACTAATGACCTTTTACAAATTCTTGCTTCCTCATCTCTCTTACCAAAAGTTTATTCTTTGAGTCTAGTGTGTTTGCCTTCCACACCTTCTTCTATTCTTTTACATACAGTAGAGATATATAGTCATAGAAAATATATCTTTTGTGTGTGCGTGTGTGTATGCATGTATTTGTGTTCATATTGCATTCCTCAATTTGCTATTTTCTTCTAGCAGTGGGTCATGGAGATCTGTCCACAGTACATACAGATCTCCCTTATTCCTTCTACTTTCGGCATAGTATTCCATAGTCTGAATAGCTACTTACCTATTGATAATATATAAGTTGTTTACAATTGTTGCTATTACAAACAGTACTATAATAAACATCCTCTTTGTGCATATATGCAAATGTAACTCTGGAACAGATACTGAGAAAAAGTATTACTGTGTCATAGGCTGTACACATTAATTGGTACTGCCAAATTATCTTCCCAGTGATTGCACCAGTATATACGCATAGCTGTGTGTGAGAATATTTTCCCCCCATATCTTTGCCATTATTTTCTTGCTAAACTTGTAAATTTTGTCCAATTTGAGGGGTAAAAAGTGATATCTCATTGTTTTACTTTACTTTCCCATGATTAATAGTGAGACTGAACATCTTTGTATGTTTATTAGTAAGTTTTAGTTTTTCTATGAGTTTGCCTTTTTTCCGTTGGATTTATTTGGTCTTTTTCTTAGTCGTGTTTAGATGTTCTTTATATATTCTAGATGCTAATCATTTGATATGTATGTTGCAAATATTTTCTTCAATTTATTGCTTATATTCTAATTTTGTTTATAGTAATAAAGTTTCAGATTGGATACTGTTTTTCTCAGTGGCTTTGAATTTCATCTCTTTTTTAAAACATATTTTCTACACCAAAGTCATTATGGCTTCTTCCCATATTTTCTTCTATTACTTTTTTTGTTCTATTTATGGTTAGATTTTGAATTTATTTTTGTGAATGGTATAAGCTGAAGATTCTAATATAATAGTATCCTTGGTAATTAATTTCTACTTTTAAAACCTGGAGTATGGAATATTTACATAATAGAACTACAGAGGATATAATCCATATGTGATGTGACTTGTATTCTGTCAGTCCAGTTTTCTGGTCCTTCATTCATCAGTGATTGTTATGTTGAGCAACAACTATTGCAGGACACTGTCATAGATATATGAAATACAGTGGAGGACAAGAAGGATGTAATAATATCTGTATTCATGGAGCTAACTTTCATGTGGTGTGTGTGTTTGATATGAAGGAGTATGAGAGGAAAGAAACTGAGTTTTAAATAATTTTCACAATAAATCATGATTATAGTAAGTTCTACAAAAGAAAAGAACAAAGTGTCATGAGACCTTGTAACTGGAGGTCCCAGTGGTGGTGGTGGTGCAGATAGAGAGGTAGTTAGTGGAAGCTTTCTTGAATAGTAACCTTTGAGTAGAGTTCTGAAGGTTGACTTGGCATGCTGAGATTGAGGATGGTGGTGAGAGGTACAGTAAGTATGAAAGGATATTTGAAGTAATGGGATAGTATGTATGCAAGTATCCTGAGGTGGGAAAGAGCTTGGGGTATTGGAGAAACTAAGAGGTGACTAGTGTGTCTGAGGCCGGAGAGCAATAGAGAAATTAGGGAGGTGGACCTGGTATTATAGACAGGGATCAGATCTGATAGATCAACAGTCTTATAGACCAAATTAATCATTGGCTGCTAAAGTTCGTGAGAAGCCTTAGAAGGATTTTAATTAAGTGAAATGGTATTTTTTTTTTTTATAAGATTCTTCTGGCCACTGAAGAGAATTAAGAGATCCAAGAGTGGATGTGGAGAGGTGATTTAGGAAGCTATTATTGTAGGTCAAGTGCTTGAACTAAAGTTGTAGTGTGGAGATGGGGAGCGGCATTAGGTTGTTGTTTCTTTAACAATATTTGATGAAGAGCAAACAACTATTAGGAAAATAGTTGCTTCTGCATTTAGGATAGAGATTATTTTTCAAGAATCAAAGAAATGACAGGGGAATTATGGAATAAGCTCAGCTGAAAGTGTGCGTAGGAGTTCTATTCTCCTAGTTGGTTTAAGACTAGCTGAATATCACATATAGAAAGTTGATGGCTCTGGAAGAGCTATGTGTTACTGACATTTTTGTAATTGGAGTCATTTAAATTTGAAAGGACAATTTGTTATTCAAAGTGGCAGTGAGACACTTGGTCAGGCGCTAGATACTTTGGTAAATATACAGTTATCTCCAAATTTTTCTGTATTATACTTCAGATTATATTGTATTGGATTTTAAAAATTTTATCTCCAAGTTAGTTAGGCATTTGTGACTATCACAGAGTTATAAGATCCTGATAAAAACAGAGATGACTTTAGAGATACATCTTAAGGAAGATAGCAGGCAATCTTTAGTCTAAGCTCATTGAGAAAACTGGTGTATAGTTGGATAAGCTTGGGAAAGGCAAATACTCCATTCTCCTCTTGGGGGTTTATTATACCTGTGATGATAATTAGAAAGGAAAAAAGTAAAGCTGAGTTTATTACTCAACCAGTAAGGGAGAACTGTGTCACTCAAATTGTGACTTCAGTCTTTCTAAGTTAAAAAGGGAAGGGATAGATCTAGAATAAAGGAAGAAAGTTTTGCCTAAATAAGACAGGATTGTGAAGTCGTCATTTGATTGGTTAAGAGGAAGTTTGTGAAGTCTTCATATGGAATAGCCATTGCTCTTGTTTACAGTTATGGGCTCAGTTCTTCATAAAGCCAGGATGATACAGGAGGCATTTTCATATGTATAAGCTTGGGAGTTGGAAAAATATTTTTTCAATATAGTGTTAAAGACTCTGAGAAGTTGAGTAGTGAAGGGACCTGCTTAACCTTGTCTGACTCTGCATCTCCCCGAGTTCAACTACTGAGCTTTGCTTTCAATGATGAATTTATCATGGAACACAACATGGAAACACTACATTACTTAAGTGTGTACATTTTCAGAACAAAATAACTCAAGAGTTCATTGTCAAGGATTTGGCTCAGATGTATCCACAAGCTCAACCTTGTCATTAGAGTTACTGATAGTAGAAAAAAAATTAATATCTGGGGATCTGAGTAGGAGGTTGTTCATGATATTGTTTGGATAAGTCCTTGTGTAATTTCTTATTCTCTTGGAGAAAGCTGGGATATATACATATTGGAAAGACTCTTGGGCTCCAGAGCCCTCAGAAACAGTAGCGTGCAATGTGGCATCTTAAGCTCTGGCATGCTGTCTCTGTGGCCAGGGCTCCTTTTCATCAAAACAGCACTCCAGTTTCTGCAGGCACTGGAGATAACAACACTTCCATTAGTAGTTTTGGTGGCTCCCATGTTGGTGCAGGAAAGTCAGGTCTAAGTCAGGGCTGTCTTGAAGTCTTCTGTAACTCATTTCATTCTTGTTGCTTAGGTATTGAAACTTCACCATTATATAGGCTTCTCTAACTCTAGTATTTCCAACTCCTAGAACTGATTCTCTGGCAGACTACAAAAAAATGTTTTTGTTTTTGTTTTTGTTTTTGTTTTTCAGCAGAATCAGGACCAGGCACTTTACTTGGTACAAGATACCAAAGGGAAGTAGAGTACGCCACCACAAAATATGCCTTTGGGGGATATTGATTATTTTAAGCTTGTTATTTTTAAGAAACAGAAGACTCAAGAACAGGTTTTATCTCCCCCTTACTGGCCTAAGGGAATTTAGGTCAAAAAACCCCCTTAAAGGAAGGGAGCTATCACCTTAGTATCATGATATGATATAAGTGTGGCAGACAGGTTGGAACCTAGTAGAGTCTGTTTGTTAGACTCCCTTCTGTGCTCCATTGTTTCTGGGTGGCCCAACAAGAATTCGTTTACCAAATTTTTGCTTCTTGTCATTTACCTGTGAATTGTCTGTTTTCCTTTTGAAGTCAAAACCACTACCCACTTTTCTCTCTAGCTCAAGATGGCATATAATCCTCAACTACCAAGATTTGTCATTGGGCCCCATATCCTATGGGACCCCATAGGTACAAGTATAACAAATGTGATTATTTTCTCCTGTTAATCTTTCTCGTGTCAATTTGATTATTAGATCAACTAGAAGAACTAAGAAGGAAAAGAAGGGAAAATTTCCCCTCCTTCACCAGCCCTGATTGCCTGACTGCCTGTGACCCCCTGTATTCTTATGGAGCCCTCCATAGGTATGAAATTAAACTTGATTTTCTCCTGTTCACTGGTCTCATGTCAATTTAATTCTTATATCAGCCAGGAGAAATGAGGAGTCTAGAGGAGAAAAAATTCTTCCTTGACAAAACTATTCTTTTGGTGATAGGGCTCTTGATAATATTTATATCCTTAAGATCTCTCTTTGCCTTCAAATGACTGATTTCCCTTGCATAGCCCAAAGATAGCTCCTTATCTAAGTTAAAGTCAAGTATAACAGTTAAGATAATGCCATTTTCACCTCATTACACTTTGTTTTGCAATTTCAGTTTTCAATTCAATACTAGAAAGAATGTGAAATACTTTTTTTTTTTAATCATAGTTTTAATGGACTTTTAATGATAGTATTTCTTTGCTGTTGGAAGAGGGACATATATAACACTCATTATTACAAACCGTGACCTACCTGCATCATCGTTCTATAGAAAACTTTTTCTGCCAGATGTCTTGCCCAAGAACAAGGTTAAACCAATAAGTTAGTCACCTTTCTTGAGGGACTGTACATGGTAACCCTACATGCCTCTGAAGTTAATGTAACTTTGAGGCTGAGTTTTCCAGCAAGAAAGCCTTCATAGTTATATTGGCTCTGAGAATTTTATTGGTTTCCTAGGCACATGGCCTAACTAGATTGAAACATAGAAAATGACATAATCCAATATGAAATCTTCATTTGATATCCTCAAATTTGTTATTATCTGGGAATAAACATTTTTAGATTTATCTAAAAATTTGTTTTATATTGAGACAGAAGTCCCCTTATTGAGACATTATCAAACGAAAACCTGATTCATTTCAAGCATTTTTGAAAGACCACTAGAATTGATTAGGAGACTTCAAGGGACATCTCTTACTAGGAAGAAAATAAGTACTGAGAGAAAGGAATGTGGGTTGCCTTATGTCTTTGACAAGGAGATGAGGCAAAGGGGGTTATTATAAACAAAGAGCGAGATAGGATTCTTTACATTTTTTCAAAAAGTTACTGACAGTTGTTCCTGACCTTAATGGTTTCTATTTTCATCTTATAATTGAGAAAGTCCTGAGTTCTACCTCATGTATCTGAGGGTATTCTGAGATTTCCTTGTTAGAGAATTAGGTCACTTTTTCTAAAGGAGGACTCATTTATACGTAACTAATTCTTATAGAGGACACTAACTATCATAGTTTGCTTTCCCATCTTTATCTTCTCCACAATCCTTTCTCACCAGTATGGTTGCCAAGAGACCCAGGAACTCCAAAATGCTTGTGTCTGCACAGGTTGTTTTCAAGATAGGGCCAACATCACAATAGACATAACTGATGACATAGTTGCCAGAGAATGGCAACTGGATGAGCAACATCATCAGACAAAACACAATGGTGAAGCCCACCACTCAGGAGCTGAAGGCCAGTTTCAGACAGAGGTTGGTGGTCATGATTGTGGGATAATGAAGGGGCTGGCAGATGGCTGTCATGGTCAAAGGACATGACAGTGAGGATGAATAACTCAGTGGTGCCCAGGAAGTAGTGGAATAAGGTGATGCAGATAGCTGTTTTTTGCCACCACAAAAGATTCTAGCAGTTTAGGGATGACTGCGGTGGTGTACCATGTCTCTAGGAAGGATAAGTGGCAAAGGAAGAAGTATACTGGAATTTGTAGCCTGGGCTCAGACATGGCAATAATGAGCCCATTGCCTGCAAGGGTTGTTATGTAGATGAAAAAGATCACTGTAAAGAGAGGGATTTGTACTCTTTGGATACCAGGAAAGCCTAGGATGATAAATTCTGTGATTGCCATGCCATTTCTCATGACCCTTGATACTCTAGAAAGACAGACAAGAAAGCAACACTTTAAAATCTCACACTCAAATACATTTTAAACCAAAGGGAAGCAGGGAGGATTCTGATTCTATTTAAGGTCCTTCAAGACACTCCTCCTCCTTCACATATACATATACACCAAGTGCTCTATTCTTACTCATGATTTGGCTTCTTCCTTTGCCAGCTAAATCAGCTTTTAATGGACTTTGAAAGTACTAAGTATGCTTGATGAAAGGAAAAGTTCTTTTTCACTTTTATACAACAATGAGAATTATTGTTGTAATATGATGATTTATCTGTCAAACAATGTAGAAAACATAAGAGAGTGATGTCAGAAAAAAGGCAGAGAGAGGTTCAAAGATCTCTCTCCTTGAAACAACAATAAGCTGAAGATCTAATTTTCAACAAAAATCACCCAACATTCACACCAGCACATCTAAGCGTGGGATCTGCCACAGAAGAGCTAGCACAGGTCAGAATGCTGGGAGTCCAGTGGTAGACTAGGAGAAACAAAGAAGCTGCCTCTTGCAGCAGGAGCTCCCTGCAGGAGGAGAGGGGAAGGGAGAAGGTGTGACTGGTTCCCTGAACAGCCTTGCCTGGGGGAGCTGTGAGCTCCAAACGGCCGGTGGTAGTTCCCAGGAATTAGGGCAGAAAACAAAGAAGTGGGGAACGCAGAGAAGCAGGGACGGCAGAGAAACAATAGTTGATTATTACCAGCCCTGAATGCAAAATGCAAGGCTGAGCCAAAGCCCTCATCCCCAACCCAGAGGGCCCTTCCCCTATATGCTCTGAGACCGAGACCAAACACCGAGGAGCTCCAGGGGAAACTGAGCAAATGCTACTGAAACTGTCACTAACACTGACAGGGGCAGAAACTAAGGGTAGCGAGTGTGATTAAATATCTATTTTTAAAAAAGGATTATTAACAATTTACATAAAGCAGAGATCCAAGAGGCTTAGAGGCCACCTACTGGAAACCAAAAGAAAAATGCCTTCTTTGCAACAGGCTAAAGAGAGATCTTTATATAATCAATTTTTATGGAAAAGAAAAAGGCGGAATGCACCTCCATTAATGCCCAGGCGGAGAAATACTCCATTAAATACCATGAACAACCAAGGTGACAAGTCATCTCAGAAAGAAATAGAAAAATCTCCAAAAAATAAGCATAAAGACATAGAAATATGCAACTTAAATGACAGAGAATTCAGGATGGTACTTCTGGAAAAACTCAATGAGATCCAAAACGATTCATATCAACAATTTCAGGAATGAAAAAAACTAGATGAGCAGAATGAGTTCTTTAGCAAAGAGATTGAAACTCTCAAAAATAACTAAATAGAACTTCTGGAGATAAAGAACACACTGCAAGAGTAGAAAAAAAATAGCAAGGTTGGGAAATAGAGTCAACCAAATGGAGGAAAGGATCAGTGATATCGAAGACAGAAATCTAGAAATAAATAAGAAGGAAGAAGAGAGAAACTGAAGAATGAAAAACAATCAAAGAGAAATACAAGAACTAACTGATACTATCAGGAGAGGAAACATAAGAATAATGGGCACTCTCGAAGGGGATGAAAAGGAGCAGGGACTAGAAAGCATTTTCAGACAAATAGTTGACAAGAATTTCCCAAATTTAAAAAATGAACTGGAGCTTAGAATTCAAGAAATCAACAGAACACCCAATTATCTCAACCCAAAAAGTCCTTCTACAAGACACATCGTGTTAAAATTATTAAAAATCAATGACAAAGAGAAAATTCTCAGGGTAGCCAGGGAAAAGAAGACAGTGAACTATAAAGGAAAACCCATTAGATTATTGTCAGACTTTTCAGCACAAATCCTACAAGCCAGAAAGGAGTGGAATCAAATATTCAAAGTATTAAATGAAAGGAACTACCAGCCAAAAAAAAAAATGTATCCAGCAAAGCTCTCCTTTAATTATGAAGGAGAAATAAAGATGTTTCCAGATATATAAAAACTGTGAATTCTCCATTATGAGGCCTGCATTATAGGAAATACCGAAAGGGGTCAGCTCACCTAAAACAAAATGAAAAAAAAAAACAACATAATTAGGAGAAAGGAGACTACCGGGCACATAAAAGCAGAGGAGTGCAACCTTTACTAAGAACAGGGCATTATAAGCTTAAACAATAAGAAGAGATTTACTATAGCAAGATAGTAATGAACGTTTAGCATACATAGGGACAAATTGAGACAATAGTGACTGAAAAGGGGAGGATTCAAAGATCCAGATTCGCAAAGGGGAATGGAAATAAGGCACATGCAGAAGAAAAGGGATGACTGTATATATATAACTAATCTCTATATAATTGTAATGGTAGCCACACAACAAAGACTCAAAACTGAAGTATATAACATAAAACAAGAAGGAATAGAGGGAAAACCCACAAAACCCTACCAAATTAAAAACAAACAAACAAACATACAAACAACAACAACAAAAAACCAGACACACAAGGACAAGGAAGCAATGGAAACATTGAGCTACCAGAAAGCAAAAGATAAAATGGTTATAAGCAGACCTCATATTTCAATAATCACCCTCAATGTAAATGGACTGAATTCACCAATAAAAAGGTACAGAGTTGCAGATTGGATCAAAAAGCAAAACCAACTATATGCTACCTCCAGGAGACATATCTCAATTCCAAAAACAAATACAGACTCAACGTGAAAGGATGGAAAATGATATTTCAAGCAAATGGCATACAGAGAAAAGCAGGAGTAGTGGTACTAATATTGGATGATATAGAATCCAAAATAAAGAAGGTAAAGAAAGATACTGAGGAACACTTCATAATGATAATGGGAACCATACATCAAGAAGACATAACACTTATCTATGCTCCCAATCAAGGCGCCCCCAAAATATATAAAGCAATTACTAACAGAACTAAAAAGAGAAACAGACCAAAACACTATCATAGTAGGAGACCTAAGTACCTCACTGTCGGATATGGACAGATCATCCGAACAAATACAATATGGAAATAACATCCTTAAATGACACATTAGACCAACTGGACATAATTGACATTTACAGAGCCTTCCATCCCAAAACAGATGCTTATATATTTTCTACTGCACATGGAACATTCTCGACGATTGACCACATACTGGGACACAGAGATAGCCTCAACAAATATAAGAGGGTTGAAATCATACCAACTATATTATCTGATCGTAATGCTTTGAAGCTGGAGACCAACTGTAAAAAGAAAGCAGGAAGAACCACGAATACATGGAGATTAAACAACATACTACTGAAGAATAACAGTCAGAGAAGAAATAAAAAGGGAGATCAAGACATACATAGAAACGAATGATAATGATAGTACAACATATCAAAACTTTTGAAATACGGCAAAAGTGGTCATAATAGGAAAGTTCATATCATTACAGGCCTATCTCCAAAAACAAGAACGAGCCCGAATAAAGAACCAAATGCGTCAACTTAAAAAACTAGATAAGGAAGAACGATTGAAGCCTAAAGTCAGCAGAAGGAAAGAAATCATCAAAATTAGAGCAGAAATAAATGAAATTGAAAACAAACAAAACAAAACAAAAAAAGAAAACTTAATGCAACAAAAACCTGGTTCTTTGAGGTTAATAAAACTGGCAAACCCCTGGCTAGACTCACTAAAGAAAAATAAGAAAGAACACAAATAAACAAAATCAGAGATGAAAGAAGAGAAATTACAACAAACAATGCAGAAATACAAAGGATCAAACAAGAATACTATGAAAAAATATATAACACTAAATTTAATAACCTAGAAGAAATGGACAAGTACTTAGAGAAATACAACCTTCCTAGACTGAATCAAGAAGAACTGAAAAATCTAAATAGACCAAGCAGTGGTATAGAAATTGAAACAATCATCAAAAACCTACCAAAAAGTAAAAGTCCAGGACCAGATGGATTCACCCGTGAATTCTACCAAAAATTCAAGATGATTTAATTTCTATTCTCCTCAAATTCTTCCAAAAAATTGAAGAGGAGGCAATACTACCCAACTCATTTTATGAGGCCAATATTACTCTGATACCAAAACCTGGTAAAGATAATGCACACACAGAAACTAAAGACCAATGTCTCTCATGAACACAAATGCAAAAATTTCTAAATAATATACTAGTGAATCAAATAAAGCAACATATAAAAAAGATTGTACACCATGATCAAGTGGGCTTCATCCCAGAGGCACAGGGATGGTTCAACATACTCAAATCGATTGATGTGATATACCACATAAACAAATTAAAAAATAAGAATCACATGATCATATCAAGAGATGCAGAAAAAGCCTTCGACAAGATATAGCATCTATTTATGATCAAAACACTTAACAAAATTGGTATAGAAGGAAAGTACCTTAACATAATGAAGGCCGTGTATGGCAAATCCTCAGCCAACATTATACTTAATGGTGAAAAACTAAAAACCTTTCCTCTAAGATCAGGAACAAGACAAGGCTATCTACCATCACCACTGTCATTCAATATAACATGAGAGGTCCTAGCAAGTGCAACCAGGCAAGAGAAAGATATAAAAGGCATGCAAATAGGAAATAAAGAAGTCAAACTGTCACTATTTGCAGATGACATGATTCTCTATATAGAAATTCCTAAAGACTCCACAAGAAGACTACCAGAAACAATAAGCAAATACAGAATAGTTTCTGGATACAAAATCAATGTTCAAGAATCCATAGCGTTTGTATACTCTAATAAAGAAGTGTCAGAAAAAGAAGTGGAAAAAATAATTCCTTTTGCAATTGCAATATGAAGAATAAAATACCTAGAAAGAAATTTAACAAAACATGTGAATGATCTATATGATGAAAACTCTAAGACCCTATTAAAAGAAACTGAAGAAGATACAAAGAAATGGAAAGATATTTCATGTTTTTGGATCAAAAGAACAAACAGTTAAAATGACCATATTACCTAAAGCATTATACAGA